ATCGCCAGCACTTCAGTTTTGATGTGTACACATTGGTGGCTAAGGATTTTTCATAAAAATAAACACTTTTTGTTTAAACTGACGTTCCGCACGACTTAAGTTACATTAATCTCATGGCTAGCAGCTACGACATACCGAGTTGGTTCGTTATCAAATTCAGCCACGGCTCTGCTTCAAATTCACATAGGATTTGATTTATTTTAGGGCCGGTAAACCGCCCACTGGCTTGCATCTGGATGTGCTGAAGGACGACAAACTGGTTCAAAAACTAATGGTGGACGAGAAGAGGTGTTATCTCTTTGGTCGCAACAGTCAGATGAACGACTTCTGCATAGACCACGCTTCCTGTTCGCGGGTCCACTCGGCATTCGTTTACCACAAGCACCTCAACATAGCTTACCTCGTGGATCTGGGGTCCAGTAGGTGCTAGATGTCAGGGGTTCCGAGTAGACTTATCAATTTACTTTACTCCACAGCCCACGGCACCTTCATTGGAACCCTCAGATTGGAGCCGCACAAGCCCACCCAGCTGCAGATTAATAGCACCTTCCATTTTGGGGCTTCTACCCGGAATTACATACTGAGGGAACGACCATCTGGTCACCACAGCAACATCATGGAAGACCTGCCGCTTAGTGAAACCAGCGATGGAGCTCTCCTGGGCCTGCCCGAAAGCCAAACGGAGCTTGATGTGCGTTGGGTCAAGGGAAAAAGCTACGATGTTAACTAACCATTTATTACATTTCAGAATCTCACAGAATATAACACGGCACACAACCGGCGCATCTCAATGCTGGGCATCGATGATGATACCAATATGCGAAAGCAAAACGCCTTGAAACAGGGACGTCGCATCCGAAATATCACTTTTAACGATGAGGAGATAGTCATCAATCCTGAGGACGTAGATCCCAATGTGGGTCGCTTCAGGAACTTGGTACAAACCACTGTGGTGCCCGCCAAGAGGGCTCGCTTCGACGTCAACCATATGGGCATCCATTCGGGTAACAGCAGTTTGTCCAGTGCCAATGCCGCCCATGTGCACCAAATGTTCCAGCAGAGCCTAGTTGACATGAAGCACCAGCAGCAGCTGCACAGGGACATGCCTCCGCCCAATGCGGTGCTTCACTCGCCTACTAATTCCCTATATCAAGGACTACCGGCCGAAACGCAAGCCAAGGGTGACCTAGAGCCCATCTCCCCATTGACCATTGGATCCAAGCTCGGCCTACTGCTCCCGAATCCCGCCCCTGAAGTGCTGCCAGTCTATGATGAGGCTGTGGAGCCCTCATCGACCCTGGCCCAAAAGTTGGCAGTTGCTAATGCAAACGGTAATAGTATTCGCGGCAATTCTTTCGTAAACTCTCTGATTGTATATACCATTTTAGTTCGTCGCTATGGAGAGGATCCGCATGACTCCAGTGGCGAGGGCGACGCTCTGTGCCCACAGAAAAAGAAATACGCCAAGGAAGCATGGCCAGGTCGCAAGCCCATGCTAGGACAGCTGTAAAGGCTTATTAGCTAATTTGAGACTTGGCAGGCCACCAATAATTATGTTCGTAGCAAAATAATTAAGATTCCACCTACGAATTCCTGAAGCGTATGATTGAAAACACACTCTGGAGTAATATTTGTTTATTACACTTTCAACATGAGTAAACCAAAACATTTTACATCTTTAACTGATCACATCTTGCAGCTGTGTGGATACCTGGGAAAGGGTATTACATCTCGTATGTTTTTCACACCCGTGACAAGCTGCAAGTAACGCTCAAAGCCCATTCCAAATCCTCCAGTTGGAATTCCTCCGTACTTTCGCAAGTCAACGTACCATTCCAGATCCTTTGGCAGTTGCGGGTGGGATCTTAATATAGAAGGATCGCATTCACGCAGGCTTCCGCCGCATAATTCTCCAACAGCTGGCATCAGCAGATCTAGGGCATGAACTCGATTGGGATTTGTACGCGATACTTTCATGTAAAAAGGTTTTTGCTCAGCTGGCCAATCCACAATGAATACGGGAGCACCACAGTGGGCCACTAAAAAAAGTTCTTGGTCCTTGGAGAAACCTTCGGTCAGACTTATGGGCGTCTTTAGACTGTCCTTATTTTCCTGCAGTACTTGTAGGGCATCATCGTAGCTTATTATCGTCCACGGAACTTGCAGCCAAGGCAGATCGGAGACTGAGCTTGAATTCTTTTGACAGAAACTTAGGTCCTCGGCACTAGTTTCTAGCAAACGGTTTGTTACAGATTTCAGCATTTGTTCAATGAACTTCGCTAACTTCTCCAGCTCCTCTAAATGGGCCAGCTCCGCTTCAAACATATAGAACTCGGCTAAATGCAACGGAGACTTCGAGTTCTCCGCCCGAAAGGCTGGTGAGAGGGTATATGTGTTGCCTAGACCGTATGTCATGGCCTCTAGGTGCAGTTGACCAGAGACGGTGAGGAATACCTTGCCGTCGAAGTAGCTCTGTTCCACGGGTATATTCGGTCTGTTCATTTGCTTGAGCAGATTTTCGGAGTCCGGTTGTACCCGGAAAACTTCTCCTGCTCCCTCGCAATCATTGGTTGTCAGCAGAGGAGTGTTTATTTGCACGAAATTCTGCTCATCCATGTAGTCGTGAATGGCTTTTTGTGCTTTGTGTCTGACTCTCATTTGGGCGGCCACAAAATCCACGCGGGATCGAAGATGTAGATGCTCACGTACATATTCCGGTGGATGTTTCTGTTTGGGACTGAAGGGATAACCTTCCTGCAATCGACCTTCCGCTGGGGAATGGAGGTAAAGCATTAAAAGATTCCTTCGTCTTGTTGTCAAACATACATAGTTACCCAACATTTCCACCTGATTCGCATGCAACTCAAAGCTACCATTTGGAGCTACTTGAATTTTACCGACCGCGGCAATGACGCTGCCTGGAGATAAGTGCTGGTTTTCCGGAGTCCGGGGCACTACCACCTGGAATCGACAGCTCGAGGAACCATCATTGATGTCCAGGAATGTGTTATTCTTCAACCGGCGAACATTTTTGATCCATCCCTTTTTACATGTGTGAATTGTACATAAACGGAGTTGAATTTTTTATTCATGGAGCGTACCTGTATTGCCAAAGAGTCGCCTGGCTTATTAGTCTTAAATATTTGAGCTATCCGTCCGGATTTACTATAAAACCGTCTCAAGAATAACATCTTTATTCTTATTTTGATTCTGTTGCAGGCAGCGCTGCCACATCGTTCGAATTGCTATTGCTTTGATATATTTAAAATGCCACACGACGGTCACACTAACAATTCGTCACTAGCGCTTGTAAAGTAAAATTCCAGTTTTATTAGTTTTTTAATGAAATAGCATTTAAAAATGTCTTCATTGGACGCAGACACCGTGCTGCTGAGCATTTTGTTTCTGGTAGTTATCGAGAATGCGCTGGAGATCTATATATCGCTGCGGCAGGTGAGTTCTCCGAAGTGCCGGCATGATCTAGCCAGGCGAGGAATTTTATCAATGCGAATGATAAATTTAGAGTGCCAAATGTTAAATTCCCCCTTAAATGATTTACCCTTCCGTCGCCACCAGGTGAATGTGTACCGAACTGCACTGAAGGTGCCGGCCGAACTGACGTCACACATGGGCGAGGAGACGTTCCATAAGGCGCGGAAATATGGTCTGGACCAGGAGAAATTCGGCATCTTCAAAGCTGTTGTTATGGATGTGGGGCTGCTTTGCATGGAGCTGTATATCGGACTTATCGCTGTGCTCTGGCAGTTGTCTGTCCAGGTGGTGGATCACCTGCAATGGGACTCCAAGAACGAGATCATCGTCAGCTGCGTCTTTGTGCTTATATCGAATATATTGAGCACTTTCAAAGGACTGCCCTTCAAGATCTACAAGATATTCGTGCTGGAGGAGACTCATGGCTTCAACAAACAAACAGCGAGGTTTTTCGCCTGGGATCAGCTCAAAGGCTTCCTAGTCACCCAGGTCCTCATGATTCCCATCACAGCGGCTATTATCTTTATCGTTCAGCGCGGCGGCGACAACTTCTTCATCTGGCTGTGGATATTCACAGGCGTTATCTCGCTGGTTCTACTCACTTTGTATCCGATTTTCATTGCTCCCCTGTTCGACAAGTATACTCCGCTGGAGAAGGGTGCTCTGAGGCAATCTATTGAGGATCTGGCCGCTTCGCTCAAGTTCCCCCTCACTAAGCTCTTCGTGGTGGAGGGATCCAAGCGCTCCTCGCACAGCAATGCCTACTTCTATGGTCTCTGGAACTCGAAGAGGATTGTGCTCTTCGACACGCTGCTGCTAAACAAAGGTAAACCGGACGACTCCGAATTGGCAGAGGAAGAAAAGGGGAAAGGTTGCACCGACGAGGAGGTGCTGGCTGTTTTGGGTCACGAGCTTGGACACTGGAAACTGGGACACGTCACCAAGAACATCATTATCATGCAGATTCACCTCTTTCTGATGTTCTTGGTCTTCGGAAATGTCTTCAAGTATCCACCATTCTACGTGGCCATGGGATTCCAACCTGGTACTCGTCCCATTCTGGTCGGCTTGCTAATCGTCTTTACCTACGTGCTGGCTCCGTACAATGCTCTCATGAACTTCGCCATGACGATTTTGTCGCGACGATTCGAGTACCAGGCTGATGAGTTCGCTTTCAAGCTGGGTTTTGCTGATCAGTTGGGTCAGGCCCTCATTAAACTGAACGTTGACAACCTTGGCTTTCCCGTTTACGATTGGCTGTACTCGACATGGAACCACTCACATCCGACGCTACTCCAGCGCCTGAATCGCCTCAAGGAGCTGAGGGAAGAGAAGAAACTTAACTAAGACCGCTCACATCATGAAAGACCAAAGTTCACGTTGTTCCCTTGATTTAACGTACACAAAATAAAGTAAGGGGACTCCAACAGATTTCAGATTTTTCAATGTGGAAAAGTGTATTGCTAAAAAGCAAAACATGTAAGCTAGTAGTTAAAAATCCGTCCGTCAGAGCCTAGACCAAATGATTCGAAAATGATTTCCTAACGGAGCTTCAAAATTGAAAAAATATGCCTAACATATCAAGGCGTTGTCAGAGGAACCCAACATGTCGACAAATTTCTGGGATGATCCAGTAAGAATACTCTACATAATCATAGCTCTCTTGGTTCTGGACAATCTATGGGCCATATATCTGCTGCTGCGGGACGTAAGTGATGAAAATATCTTTTGAGTATATTTTGGATTTAATTGCTCTTTCAGATACAAGTGGCTTACAAAACGCATCAAGTACCGAATGTTATCAGCCCATATCTACCACAGGACCTCTACGATAAAATGCGCGTCTACAAGATTCACAAGGGCTGGTTCACCATTGTCCACACCCTGCTTTCGGCGGTTATAATGGGTGCTCTGGAGCTATACTTCGGGTTCTATGCCTGGCTGTATGGAGTGGCTGAGAAGTGCACCCTGGCCAAGTGGATGGAGCACGAGGCTTGCGTATCCGTGATCTTCGTCCTTCTCCTGAGCCTTTATTTCTGGCTAAAAAGCTTGCCGGCCATGATCTACGAGCATTGTTGCATCAAAAGCTTACAACCCAGGCCGAAGCCACCGTGGTGGTCCCGCATCTGTCACTTTGTCGTTGACCTGATTGTGGGAGTGGCGGTTACCACTGTGGTGGTGGTCGCCCTGGTGTACATGTTTATCGGCTTGGGCTCCTATGCACCTCTGGGCTTGTACTTTCAATCGCTGATCCTGACGATGATCATACTCCTGTTAATTCCATTTTTGATCGATCCTTTTGTGGGCCAACGTGTGCCCCTGGAAAACTCGAATTTGCGCACTCAACTGGAGTACGTTACGCGACAAGTGGGCTTTCCCATGAGCCAGGTGCGCATTATCCGTGTGCATGACCCTAACACGGGAAGTAATGCCTTCTTCTACGGATGCTGCTGCCTGAAGAGAATTGTGATTTTCGATACATTGCTGCTGAATAGGGGCAAAGCGGATCTCTCCCAGTTGTCGCCAGAGGAGCTGGGTAGGGGACTGGCGGATCCTCAGGTGATTGCTGTGGTGGCCCATGAACTGGGCCATTGGAGGAATGGACATTTTTACAAGGCAATTCTTGCATTTCAAGTCCATCTCATACTGACTATCATGCTGTTCGCGCTTTTTTTTGACCATGGACCCATCTACCAGGCGGTGGGATTCGCTCCCGGTCTCGAGCCTATAGTCATAGGATGCTTAATCATCTTCGGCTTTGTATTGACTCCATACATGACACTGGCCAACTTCAGTATGCTGAGCATGACGCGTTGCTTTGAGTACCAGGCGGATAAGTTTGCTTACCGGCTCGGATATGGAGGAGAACTTCGTCAAGCTCTGCTCAAATTATATGCGGATAATTTGGCATTCCCCGTTTCGGATTCTTGCTACTCCAGCTGGAATCATACGCATCCCACTATGCTGGATCGGTTGAGTCGTCTGGAAGAATATCGACGTTAGGCGATATACTTTAAAACATAGTAGCTGCTGATTGAGTTATCCGTCTTGGGTAATATAGATATATGTACAATTTACAATAAGTAAACATTGTTTGTTGGGGGAACATGATAAGTTTTGATGGCATTCTACGATACTTGGCCGAAAGTAGATCCAGTCATAGTGCTGGTGGTGTTATGTCTGATCGTGTTAGTTGACCGGATATGGGAGATGATACTCACCAAGAGGCAGGTAAGTAGTGGATTGGTTGCTCTGCCGATTAAGAACTAATTGCGGATCTCTTTCCTCAGCAATTGGTGTGCCTGAATTCGATAATGGTGCCCGAGGAGCTGAGAGGTATCATTCCGCCGGAGATTTACCACCGGGCCCGCATCTACGAGCTGCATAAAACGGAGTTGCAGCTATGGAAGTACCTCATCGACTTGATTATTACGCTTTGTGAGCTGATATTGGGTTTCTATCCCTTCCTCTGGAAACTGTCAGCGATGACTCTACAGAAATTTACCTCCCAAGAGATCTGGATCACCTTGATCTTTGTGTTCTACCTGACCATTTACATCTGTATTAGGTTCCTGCCGGTGCTGATCTATGACAAGTGCCTGCTGGAGCTGCGATATGGGATGTCGGGCAAGTTTCCGTGGTACCTCTACTGCTGTATTGGCGCACTGTCCGTTCTCCTGAGCCAGCTCGTCCTGCTCCCGTTGGCGGCGGCCATTGTGTTCAGCGTACAGCTCATTGGCTACTACTTCTTCCTCTGGTTCTGGCTCTTCTGGGCTGTGTTCACCCTGTTGCTGGTATTCTTTTTGCCCTACTGCTGCATTCCGTGCATTGGACGACAGGTGGTTCTCCCAGAGGGCACTGCCCTCTATATGGAGGTGAAGCGGGTTTGCGATGTGGTTGGCTTTCCCATGAATCGGGTGTTTATCATTAAGACCCGGACCATGCAGTATAGTAATGCCTATTTTTACGGAAGCTGCTGTCTAAAAAGAATTGTGATTTTTGACACCTTGCTACTGAACAAGGGCAAGGAAGCCAATGAGATCCATCCCTATGAGGTGGGCAGAGGTCTGACCAACATGCAGGTGGCGGGCGTGGTGTGCCACGAGTTGGGTCACTGGAAGCACGGACATTTCTACAAGGCCACGATCATCATGAAGATTCACTTTTTTCTCACCATGGGACTCTTTGGATTGTTCTTCCACTCCCCGCAGCTGTACATGGCAGTGGGCTTCGCACCCGGCGTAATGCCCATCATTGTGGGATTCATCATTGTCCTGAGATTTGCCCTGACTCCTTATCTCACGTTAGCGAATGTCCTGATGTTGTGGAATCTGCGTCGCTTTGAATATGCCGCCGATAAATTTGCCCATCGCATGGGATACTCCATTCAACTGAGGATGGCTCTGGTCAAGATCTATGCGGATCACATGAGTTTTCCGGTCTACGACCAGTGCTATGCTCGCTGGCATCACACCCATCCCACGATTCTTGAGAGACTGGCCTATCAGCAAAAACTGGATGGGAGGGCCATGAATGCCTGGTCCTAATAATCTCAGTAGTCCCCGCCCTATAAATCCATTTGATTTTGTATGTTTTTCGAGATATCCTGTAAAATTGACCGTGTTACCATGACTCGAACACAAATTGCTGCGCCCCGCTGTGGAACTATTGCCAAATTGGTGGTCAGCATCGACAGTGGGTGAGTTCTGCAAATGTTAATGGAGGGAACTAGGATGGAGGATCGTTCAACTGAAGTTTTCAAGCTCTGATGGAATCCTTCGCCTTCTTTCTCTTTTGCAAAGAATGTTTAGTTTATTTTTAATTTATTTTTAAATGTTACCAGAATACTGTTAAGCAACCACCTTTGAACAAATTCTAAAGTATACAATTAAATACAGAATATATTAACTTGGTTAGAAATGAAAAGATTAGACTGCATATATCTAGAAGACAGAATTAATAAGTTCCCAATTCAGTACTCACCAAAATAAAATCCATTAGCGAAACCTTTCTTACCTATGCAGATGCCACAACACGATCCTTCTACGCAAATCCCACGTGGCTGAACTTCCAAAATGGAATGATGGAATTGGGGCCAATAGACAAACCGCATACCCATGATTCTGAAAAGGAGGCAGCCTCTTTTATGGAGCGACATTTCGGAATCAAGCGTCTGGATTCTATGCAGTTGAACGAGAGTTGGGGTGCAGTGGGTTTCCAGGACAGGAAGACGATTATCTGGCACACTTGGCTGGTGGAGAAGGTGAGATTTCCTCCAGCTCAGTGTGCGGTTATCAAGGAGTGGAAGGATCCCTTCACGGAAACTCTAAGCTCTTGCTTTTGTTCCTGGCACTTGCAAAATTGCATGGCCTGGCAGCTCATCATCAGTAATAGAATGAAGGATGCCAAGTGGTAACTAGCTTATAACTAATGTTTTTATCATTTAGCTAAAAAGTTCCACCTCAGCTTCTGTTCGCGAATCAAGAAAACGATGGACAATGTCAACTGTCTCGTTGACCCGGAACTGGAACAGGACAATTCTGTGAAGGATTGTTCTTCTCCCTTAGCCGCGTTAACCGAGAAAGTGTTTGGTGCCACTGGTATGCTGAAGAAACTGAATGATCTTCTAGAGCTCCAGGAGAAGCGCAACCGGAGATACAAGCGCCTGTATGAATAGAAAATTATAGGAATGCCAAAGACTGCGATTGGAGTGCTGACCCCTTGATGTCTGCATAGATTGTATTGTATTTATTTTATTAAAACATTTCTGTTGTATTTCCATAGTATTAGACATATATCCATTTAGATATTCGATATTTTGTATCTTGTTTCATATAGAGAAAGTCCGTTCGAAGCTTTACATGCATGTGGTTTTGAACAATATCTTAGGATTAGCATAAGTATGTTATCATATAGAGTTGTATCGTAATTAGTATATTTATATGATAAGTTGGCATTTTGTTGCATGTCGTCTGTACTCAGGGTTTCATTTTTAAAGGCGATGGAATCGATATATTTCATAACCTTGGCTCTAAAAATGAATCCTTGGGTAAAGACCGTTTCAGGATTGGAACAAGTTGTCTTGGTTTTAAAGCTTAAGTCATTAATTGTTAGTTTTTTTAGTTAGTTCGGTTTCGAAAAAATACAATGGTAACAGCTTGGGAAGGGAATATGTATCGAAACAAGTCATAATATATATAGCTATAGCACCTTGAAAGAACGTTAGATAGTTCGTAGCGTTGTAGGTAAACTTTAGGTTTTCGTTTTGGTTAAGAATTCGATTTGCCTAAGCTGCGGAATTGAGTGGAAAAGTTAGCCTCAACCGGCGTCAATCAGCTCCTCGTAATCTCCCCTCGGGTGGAAAATCCAAGGACGAGTGTGTCCAACATTAACTGCATACAACGCCACCCTACAGCTTGACATTGTCACGTTCAGGTGGCGGATGCATTTACATTCGCATTCACCTGCAGTAGTGGCATCCTCCGTGGGGCTGATGCAAGTGGCTCTTGATTGATTGATTGATGTTTGCGGGAGGTATTCATAGCACAAGTGCGGGAGTTGGGCGCAGAATGCAGCCACCCACTTTTGGGGGTACTGTTACAATGATTAACAACAATTATCTACAGATTGTAGCCACACATATGCTTTTACTTAGGTAGTCTCAAATAAATGTGGTATCCTTAAATATAACTACTTTTATTTCGATTTTAATTGGTAATAAAATAAAATACGTTATGCAAATACATATAGAAAATATAAATACATATATAGTATAATATAAAATCGATGTACTGATCTTGTTGTTATCATTTCTTAATTGTTTACTTTAAGTGGCTCGATTTAGTGTTGCAAATTGTTTGACTGGATAAATTTCCGTTTCGGTTTGAGTTTGGGGGAAATATACTCTCAATATCTTAACGTACGATAAACATTTATTTAAGATTGAAACATTTATATTAGATTTATGTTACCAATAGCTTCGTTTCGGTTTGGATCTTTCACGATTCTCCCCCGATTCCAATATCCCTTCATTTTTTTTGGTTTATTTGCTGCCCCATTTAATGCAGCTCTAAAGTAAACAATTGCCTCGAAGCCCATTTTGGCCTCATTTCTGGATTTCCCGCGTTCGGGTGACAAAAATAGAGTTGGCTAAAATCTCTTTGTGGTATGTTCTCGAACATCCGGCTTACTCCTCGTCGTCGGGCGATATTTTGGCCAGTGTCAGCAGGATCATGGTCAGTTCTTTCCGGGAGATCTTTCCATGCTTGTCGGTGCCAACTCCCCGCATGATGGTCTCCTCGAAAGCGGCCAGATCCTGGGCATCATAGTCGTCCTGGCAACCACCCAATGTTAATATTCTTTGTATTTATCTTTTGAGGCGACACTCACCTTCTTGACCAACTCCAAAAGGTCCTTCAAGAAGCCTTTGAGCTCCTCGTTTTCAATAGTGCCGCTATTGTCCTGCAAGGATATTGTATTATTTTATTGTACAACTTTATAAAGGTTCCTCAATCTATTGCTTTACTTACACGGTCGTAGAGCGAGAATACTTTTTCAATATCTTCTTTGGTTAACTTTGTGGCGCCCTGTGGATACAAATTGCCATACTCAATATAATATTATTCAACAAAACTCGTTCATATGCAGGTTTCACATAAAGTTGTATTTATAAATAACGTGTATAGTGGGATTTAGCATACTTTTCTTACATAAATAAAGGAATGTTGAATAACGTATTTAAGGGACACTAAACTTAAATACACAAATACAGTCCGAGAAAATTGGAAGTATGCTAAATCCATCAAATCAAATGCAAAAATATTATTTCAAGACTCCGGATAGCACAAAACTTTGTTTAGACTATCCCGGAACTTTCCAAATGGGCTACCCTATATAGGCCTAAACTACAGGTTGAGTTGTGTCTTCTGGTGCGATTTTGGTTTTGATTAGTTAAATATAAACGAATGAGCTCATGCGAAATACAGCTAATTATAATGAAATCATGCTTTTAGGAATGCAATGAGGAGCGAATCATTATTCCTATGAAAATCCTAAGAGAATAATTAACATGCTACGTATAAAAAACAGGTATTCCATATTCACACTCATTCATTAAGCTTAAGGTAGAAGCCTAATTATGCTAAATGAAACATACTGCCGTTTACTATACACATATGTGTTTTCTGCCGTTGACATTCGCTAATTAATATGAATTATAGCGCAGGTAGAGCAGATTTGTCATTACCATTCAGCATGCTCATTCGGGATTTTCCCGGATGTGTTTTCCACGAGGGAACACGAAATTTATCGATTCCATTTGCGCCCGGCAAATTGCACGAATTACTTTCCCCCGTATATAAACCTCTTTTCACATACATGTATGTACCCCCCACATACTCATGCAGTTTCGAATTTTGGGGGTTATGCAATGTGGCCAAGGTGGCGCCTCAAGTTCACTGCACTGGGGAAAATAGTATAGTAATTATACAACCGTAACATGTAAGTCTCGTAAAATGTTGCCTTATAGTAAGCATTAGCGGTGACTATTTAAGATTCTTTCTGATTCTGTAAGATTCTTTTTTTCACAGTGCACTTACGGTGCGCGTGAAACTCAAGGTTTTGTTTTCTTTATCCTTGGGAAAGTCTGATAACATTTGTTTTACTGGCGCCAAGAAAACGCAGCGGGCGCATGGTTTCTTTCTTGCCGGGATTAGAAACCCATTAAGTGGATACCCTTTTTCGCTTAAGCCTTAAAAAATGTGCTTAGCCCGACATTATAAATTGCGATCTTGCTGCCACTTGCCGGTGGCAAAGCTCCTTAAATTGAATTTCATACGAACGCAAAAGGTATATATTTGGCTGGCTTTTTATTTTCATTTTCGTGGCCTGACTCTTTGTCAAATTGCCCAGACTCAAGTCGATGTTCGCCTTGAACGTGATGGGATGTGATGTGATGTGGCCCCATGCCAACACATTGATGAAATGAAGTAATTATTTTACACTTCAACACTTTGAAAAGCCGATGGCAGAGAGCGTGTCAGCCTGTGGCTGCCATTATCCATATGGCACTGCCACAAAATATATCCGCTCCCCCAGCTCTCCAGCTCTCCGGCCCCACAGCCAACGAACTCAATGACTAAATTATGCAAAAGGTTCCATGGAGGAGGTGGAGGCGGAATTCCACATCAACGTGTAATTTGCGTGGACCTCACATCGTTAGGGCCAAAGCTGTTCACGTACTGGGATGCGGGATGTGTTAAGTGGCAAATGGGGTGGACCAATGCCATCAAAAGTCTAATTAGTAGCTCGTAGATATCATTTTCTTGTTTCGAGTTGGCTTGTGGCTTTGGGCTAGGACCCTAAAAACGGCAAGTTGCAAATTACTCTAACTTTTACTGGCAGCAAGTTTTAGTCGCTCAACGTTAATAGAGGTAAGCTTTTATTAGTTACTTAACAAAAAGAGAAACTTGGTAGAACTGTCTAAAAGCTTGCATCCAAAAACTAGTATGTCTCATAATAAAATTTCAGATGTCTTGCATACTTTTAGACACTCTTTGGTGGCTTCAAAACATCATTAATATTTAGATAACACTTTTAGCCACTATTTGACTCCACTATTTTCACTTTGGCAAGCTTATTTGATTATATAAGCTCGGCTTGTATTTATTTATTATACTGAAAGATTTATATCGTTCACGCAGCAAAAAGATTATTTTTATTCTCAAAAAATAAACCATGCTATGCTCATGCAATTCCATTTATGAACATGAATTTATCTGGCAAATTTAATACATTTAGAAGGTATTCGGGTGTTTTGCATTAATAAATATAAATGGTTGAGTACTCATCAAAACAAAAAACAATTGTTCAAACAAGTGTTATTTAAAGCACGAAATGATACACTTTTATTGAGAGTTTAAATGGGCCACCAGTGTCTTTGTAATCTCTATCACCCACATGAGTTATTATTTTTTGTGGGCTTTTCTTTTTTGGTTGTTTGAATGTTTTATGATGGGGTGGAAAATACTTACGTCAATGCCCTCCTTCAGTGTGTGGTTTATATATATATATACGTTTTTATGTTATTTATTTTATTTCATTGGTATCGGTTTTGTTTGCAGTAATGCAAATAGTTTGTGTATTGTTTTACGAAATATTTTTGTTTGTTTTTATTGTTGGCAGTGCAATTGGTTGCAGATTGTTGTATGCAAATTTTTGTATATACAGCAGATGGCAAGAGTTTTGATTTGCGGTAATTGTTTTGTTATTTCAGAGTTGATTTTCAAATTGCATTTGTGAGATAAGTCGGAAGTTGAAGGTGGCAGCCCAAATTGTTATACACCACGTGCACGGTATAGTTAATTCGGTAATTGTTATTTTTAGTTTGGGTTTTGTTAAGTTGTTTGTTTTGAAATAAAAATGCACAAGATTATAGAAGTATATGCAAAGATATATGGTATATTTTGTTGATAGTATACAGATGGCATAGAGGAGGTAGGCGGGGGGAAACGAAAAAGATATATAGAAAGTTAGAAAATTCATAAACTAAAGCAATTAAGTTTGTTGTAGGCTATTTAAAATGGGCAAATATTAAATGATATTTTTGTATATTATTATTTTCTTTAATAGTTTGCCAGCTTGCATTAACTTATCGCTTTAAAGTTGTATACATGATTTTAGGCTAAAATTTTAATTATTATTTTAGTAAGCTAAAAGATCTAAGATCTGGATGCAAAAACCAAAAGTGAGAAAAAATACGTATACGCTTAGTTGAACGTAAGCTAGTCGAATGCATTACCAATTGTAGAGAAAACGATTTCTGCTTTCTTAGTTAATTGCTCAAAATTGTTTCTAATTGCAAGTTCTAAAAATAACACAAGAAAATGAACTGAAAAATTGTCTGTGCCGCAATGTCACGTATTTACTTAGCCGAGTCCTTGTGCTCATATATGTATGTATACTGTATGTGTGCAAAATAATGCGCCTGGCAAAACGCTAAGTGTACCGCGCTATTTTTCACAATGTCCTGCTGCTTCGTGTCCCCAGTTGTCTGTCCGGCACCCTCTTCCCTCCCCGCCCCTCCACACCTATTGCCATTTGCAGTGGCTTTTCCTGTTGCCGCACATTATGTCACTCGTTGCTCGTTGCTGTGCATGCGGCGTATACGTGATGTGCATTAGCATAACGTTTTCTGGCATTTTTGGCCACCAGCCAGCAATACACTGCGCCGTATAATTGGACGCCCGGAGACAGAAGTTTCTGGGAGTCATGCAGCTTCTCGAAAAAGGTTGAGGGGCATTGCATGTTGGTATAGCTCAGCAGCTGGCCCACTGCGGTTATCAAAATGCTGATGCATGCTTGGGCTTTTATGGTCCCGAAGAAATGATGTTGAAAAGTAATAACTGCACCTGGGGTAAATGTGCTGGAAATGCCTATTTTATGGCTGCCAGAAGCTGCGGCTTCCAGCCTTTTTTATGGCACTTCATAACGGCCGACTTACGATGGCGAAAGTACGGTAAGTACAGACGCGTATCTTTGGCGGTCAGGTGCCTGGGCACTGGGATGCCTTAGGATTCAGTGGCTCGGAACTGAGTGACAGCAACCATGTCCGCGCCGTGGCGTTTTCGATTAAAATCCAACTTGTCCCGCCGCTACATTGTTATGCATGACTCCGAACGAGTGGTGCTTACTCCTGCCCACTCTTGCCCACTCCCCCCATCAATAAAAACCAAATAAAATGTCGTTTGTGCTGCGAGCTGTAACAATGAGCAAATATGCGGCATGCAACCCATGAGCACCGAGCACTGGGCATTGTTCGTTGTGCAATCCTGCGGCTTCTTCTGCTCCTTGCTCGGACTGCCGCTCCACATGGGTGCACATCGCTACATGGCCACGGTCCCCAGTCCTGCTCCAGATCCTGCCTCTATCCTGGCGAAAAGGACGTCCTTCCGCGCACAACACAAATATCTCGTTGAAGGAACATGCGAGTTGCATTTGAATTTACACCAGCAGCTTGCCGTTTTAAATTGGAAAGCGTGAAGGATGTAAGCTGGCATCAAGTTGACTTCAATATGTTTATTTTGGACGGGCAGTAGTGAAAAAAGTGATGGTTTGGCAAAACATTTGCATTTCATTTTCTTAGCCAAACTGTAGTAGCTAGTTTGATGCAGTGTAAAACATTTATATAACGTTTTATAGTATACTTTCCTGGCAAAAAATGTTTGTATATCAAAGATCTCTTAGCTGTCTTTAAACTTTCAATTTAAAGGATTTTTCGTTTCGCACCTTAAGTTTAAAGTTAAAGCCCGAAAGCGCATATATCTCGCAAAAAAGCATCAAACTTTTCCTGTGCGTTTCAAATGGAACAAATATTAACTCTCTCTTTTCACAGCGAAAGTTGCAATAATTGGCTTTGAAATATTATAATTAAATAGTCGGGGGCGTTCTTTGGGGGTTTCAACGCGTCAGGAACGCCAATTTCGTTAGCCACATCTCCAAATTTTCCGTTTAGTTTCCAACAACGTGCGCAGCCAGCAAAGTGATTCAGTGCAATGGCAATCCGATTGCAATAGAAAACCAAAACAAAGTGAGTTCAGGCTGAATGCAATACATTTGATTTCGGCACACTGTTGGAGGCGCCACCCACAAAATTTGGCCGAAAAATGGCGCTCCGATAGCGAACACATCCAACTTTTCGGCAACTACTGCCAATGAGCAATGAGAATAAGCATCAATGCGACTGAAGCACGTACATTTGCAGCAAATACTCGTAACAATAAGAGCTCTCAATGCCCTTCGATTCTGCCCCCTCAGATCATTTTGCCGTGCATCTAACCCACTTGATTGCCAAGAGCAACACCGACAACCGAATGGAGGTGGTTTTCCTTTGGGTGGATAGTCCATGTGGCGATGTGTGGTGGTTCATGTGGCAAACAGCAAAGAGGAAACCCAAACACGAGGACGAACACGAGAAGAGGCAGAAAAGTGTTCGATGAGGACGTTGGAAACGCGACTCGGAAAATTTCGAAGGGGCTGGCTCAGCAAATTGGGAGTTTTCAAGGCTGCAGGTCCAACATTTATTTCCGCCTGCCCTTCTTAAGTAGTATTATTTATGTACAGTGGTCTTTGTAAGCTCTTTCCTCGCATGCACATTATACTTAAATTCATGGAAGCTGTTTGATTTTAAATACTTTTTTAGGAAATTTCAAATAATGTTTGGAACCCCTAGATAGAGAACCATATCACCTTAAGGCCTCCATATACGCGAGGCATGTTCCTTAAGCAGCTGCTGCTTTGAGCAAACAAAGCGTTTTCTTGGCATTTGGATGGCCCAATTCGTTGCCAACATGCTTAAAATGCGAAAACGGACGACATGCTCGAAATATATGCTCCTTTGGCCAAGTTTTGGCTTGCGGGAACCTACGTGACATTCGGAGGCAGTCTCAAATGCAATGACAGTGCTTCATTTGACCGCATTTGGCATCATCAGCAACGGCATCAGCATTTGGGCCAAGTCAAAATGGGTTCGTAGAATTTCCCAGGGGAATTTTAAGACCCAACATCTGGCGGCGGCGTCAGTCGTGGCCAAAAAGTTTGTTTTCCCAACACCACATGGCTTTTCTTCTGCTAATTGTTCGGCTGGGTATCTCTTCGAGGCAAACTAATATTAAAGTATTTAATGGCCAGCCATTTGGGGACTTTCCACCTTCTGTTTGTGTAGTGATTGCTGTTTAGCTGCCCCTTTTTTACAGCCCATTCGAATCGCATGAAATCTGTTGACGCTTCAGCAAAAACTGGGGAAACAAGGAAGCTGTTGCCTGCGGAAATTGATTCCACCAGCTCCCACGCATTTTATTTCTGCGAAACAAAAAAATGAAGAAATGGGTGTGGGTGTGGGTGGAAAGCACCTGCCAGTTTCAGCTGAGCTTTGCCATTTTGCTTCGTTTATTTTTACGATTGCAGACAATATTTCTTTGCTATTTTTGTTTGGCCATGGCTTTATTTGTTGCGATGCAGACAAAATTGGCTTGAATATATTTTTTTATGGCCAAAACAATTCAATGTTGCATTCAGTGTCGAATGCGAAAGTTAAAACAAATAGTGCCATTGTTCTTTTTTGTAAAAATTGTATTTGCTGATCTGTCGAGCGAGAATGAAAAGCTGTTGAAAGGATTTAGAATCTCTGTTGTTTCGAGGTTCTATTCAGAAAGGCATAACACTTTCCCTTCCGAGCCATTTAAAGTTTTAAATTTAGTTTAGTCCATGGCAATGCTTTTATCCAATTAATGCTTGTTCATGAGTGAAAACTAAATTTGGTAATTAATTTTTATTATAATTGATAACCAATATCATTCCATTTCGTTTTTAATGGTTGGTTGGCTGTAAATTGCATGGAATTTCAACTATATAAGTACTCTTTTATATTGTCTTTAAAGCCCTAATATTTTCGTACTAAAAAGTATAGTCTTGTCTTATAAGTTGGGTTCATTTGTTTTAAAGATTATTTCCGAAGTCGGCACAGACATCGCTCGAAATGAAAGGTAAACAAAAGAAAAGACAAACCAATATGCATTGCTGATTGAGTTAGTTGCAAAGCTAAGTTAGTTGAATAGTCAAGGCTGCAGCTAGTGATAAACCAAAAGGCCAGGCTAACCTAAGTGCTAAACGTGTTTTGTTCGAGGCAAGCTGTTTGGTTTGAATTGGTTTCATAAATAAGTTCTTAGTAATAAATGATCGGAAAACCGCGATTTGCTGACAGTATCTGCTCTTGGCAATTTCCTCGATTGAACGATGTTTTTACATTTTATCTTTGTCACTTACCTTAAACACTTGGCGGCACAGGAAGTTCTCTTTAACCGGAAGCAATCTGCAATAAATAAGTGAGTTGGCTGGCTGTCGCCTGGAATTTCAGAAGCAACTTCAAGGACACCTACTTGGCCATTTCCGACAGCTGCAGACGTCCGTCCTTGTTGGCATCGAATACTTGGAGCTGAAAGGATTCGGAGTGGGAATGGTGATTGGGCATACATTATTCTGGGCCTATAGCAAATCTGCATAATTTACACTTTTGTGTATAAATGCATGGCTCATCTGTCAACAATCACAGCCATGCATGTCAAAATGAAATCGTTTTTGTTTAGCAATTCTATGTATAATCATTGATGAGTAGTAGTAGTAGTTAGTAGATAGTAGAAACAGACAGTTTATGAATTGCGTTATAGAATTTTGTACTTGTATCACTTCTACTGCTGAATTGTGGAAGCAATCGAAGCCATTTAGTGCATTTATTTCTAATAACTTACCATAGTATCGGTGTACTCAATGAGCTTGTCCTCGGACACATCGTTGATCTTTTTGGCCTCTTTGAGCAAATCGCGCAAGAAATTCTTCAGCTCATCCGCTTCAATGTAGCCCGAATTGTCGGTGTCGTATTCGCGCCAGATCTAATTTCATAGGAGACGAGATGGGAGTGCAAATGAATTGGGGAATTCCAGGGTCCAGATTGTCACCTACCTTCATGAATTCAACGCTTGATTCCAGGGGATTATCGAAGCGGAAGAGCAAAAGGAAATTCTCCTCCATGGGCAAAAGTTGAGCCAGCTGCGGAAGATGGTTACAAGAAAAATAGCCTTTTGTTTCAGTGCGTGACTTGACAATGAAATAAGTTATAAATGGGAATGCTGCGGGGATGTTTCGCATACTGGGTACCTAGGACTCCTATTTTTCCGGTGCATTGCGTAAAAGGCGGGGAAATCTTGCTGCACTTTCATTAGCGAACGGCCGGAAAAGTTTCGCCGCTGGCATTCGTTAAAAGTTTCCGGCATAATTGAAGTGTCGAATTGAAGCCCTTACCCTTTACAAGTAATCATCTGTGGCAGGGAAAACTTTATAATTCGCTGTGGCCGTGGGATTTGCATTTTTATTTGCTCTTGGTAATTACAGCACTATCGTAATTAAAGTTTATCCCCAGGCCAAAGCCTTGTTGACAAGCCAGTAATTTAACAGCCCAAGCCATTTCGATTGGCGTTCGACGTGGCGTATGAATAATGTGAACCACATGAATTATGAATGCCCAGTGCCTTTTGTATTGCGAGCAATCTTAATCAACAATCCATGGGGGACCCGGCTACTTGAACTTTTCACTTTTCTTCCCCAAAACTTTCTTTTTTCGTGGGCTCATTTATCAAAAGCCCATTGTGCACTGCTGTATTATTTGGTATAAAAAAAAAAAAATGGAAAAATCCCCTTCCAATAGTCCCTACTTCTGCTGCCAGTTCAACTTCAATTAAAAACTCGTTTAATGTGGCCTTCCCACAATGAGAGAAAAGGAAGAAAAAACTTTTTTCGGGCAAAGACCTTGCCAGAAGTGGATTCTTTCTCCAGGGAAAATCGCCAAATAATTTATACGTTTCGGGCCGGCCAAGACATTTAAAAACCAATTTAAAGAAGGCAAAAACGGGGCCACCACGCCTTACGGAAATGTCATTTCGAATACAAAAATCCATACAGACAACATTGCGCATACGACATGGAAGCCCCCATCAAGCCGAAATTTGGGTCCGAATGTGGCGCATGTATTACCCACCTCTCTGATATCGATTTTACCATCCTGATTGTCATCGTAGGCCTCCATGAAGCAGGACTTCAGCTCCTCGAGCATGGTGTCCGTTACAGCCTGGGGATTGGGGCAGATGGATTAGGATGCAATTGTACCATTCCATTTTAGGCTCACCTCCGGACTAATGTCTGTGGCATTGGCACTCGACACGAACTCCCGCAGGAATCCATCCAGCTCGGTGCCCTCAATGTAGCCATTTCCTAAGATGGCAATTTAAATAAGTAATGGCATAAGTGAAATACATCAAACAAATACTCATTTCGTTGAAAGTTCTGCAAGCCCCATTCGATCTACACTCACCATCTTTATCGTAGTGCGCCCAGACATCCATGAACTGGTTGGCCGACAGCTTCTTGAGTTCCCTGGACTCGGGATCGCGATATTGGCGCATAAAGTTGTGGGCCTTCTCGATTTGGACGCGTTTGGCGGCGGCGGCGGCGGCAGAGTCCATTTCTTATGGTTTGTTTTTTTGTCTCGGGTTTATTTGTCCTGGCTGAGAAACTAGATGCTGAGCAATTATCTCTGGGGTGGAGAAAAAGAAATACAACAATTAATTTGCAGCCATTAAACGCTATGCTCGGTGTCTGGGGAAAAGCCAGTTGTCAGCGCAGCTGAAACTGTCAAATTAATAGCATAAAACAGAAACACCCACGAAAGCCAACACAGCCAGCCATCCATCCCACAGGTCCATACACACGTACACGGGTATGGCTGGTGAGGAATGGCCACAGTGGGAGTCCCACTGCAGCGCAGGAGGCGCCGACATTGCATCCGTGCGCGGGGATTTCCCGCAGATGAAGTGAGAAAGGACGCCACGCTACCTCCACGCGGCCCCAAGCGACCCCCACGCCCACATCGCTTGACACCGCCCCTGTCACAAGTCATTGAGGGTTAAACACACCAGCGGCCAGGGGGAAAACAAGAAATGTAAACAAAATTGCTGAGCAACCCACAGCCCACGACTGCAGTTGCCTCCCGGATGGGTGGATCTAAAAATAAGAAAGCAAAGTCCTGGGCCAAGGCGCGTCTGCAGATGATGTGGGCTTAAAAGGGACACTTAAAAAAATAATTACCAAGGTGCCAAACTGCAGGCGGCCTTTCTTTACATTATTATTTATTTTATGTGCTGAAAAGCCTTGAGTCTTCATTCACTTGTGGAAATTCAGACAATATCTTTATAAAATAATAGTATCTTTCTATTTGAAGAAGGTATTTTCCGTCTAGAAAACTAGGAAATCGTCCTTCTTAGCAACGAAAGAGGAAGAGCATTTTAATTGGATACTTTCCGGCGTTGGAATTCATGTTTTAATGGTTGAGAAAAGCATCAAATGAATTTGAATAAAATTTCAATACACCTTGTATAATATTTTGCTTTTTTTCAGCTCTTGAACGTCTTAATCAAATGCATACAAAAGGCTTTTAAAGTCGAAATATGGCATTAAAATTATTAAAGGAGCAAATAATGCTATATGTGTGTCCAAGCTGTATTTAAGTGGACTTTGAAATGTGCCAGTTTGGCTTGGACTTAGCCAGTCCGTTTGCCGGCATCCGGATATACGTGTACATATATCTGCGGTGGGAATCGTTGACAGTTTGCTGCGGTCGCTCCTTTGTGGCTAAAACAACGCTCAGAATAGAAAAGCCGTGAGCATAAATTTGCAGCAGCTGTTACCACTAAATGAGTTTCGCAATGCACACTGTTCTTGACACACAGGAAAATCGCCACTAATTTCAGTTTGAAGGGCGAAAAATAGTGAAAAATCAGGTGCTCTAGAATCAGAAGAATTCTGTATAAATATACTTACTAATAGCTGATTTCCTCGATAAGACTGAAACATCTTGTCCAACCTCAAAGACATTAGGCACTGTGCAATAATCGCATTAGGGCGAAACTTGTTGACTGTGTCCCTATTGTTTATCGAACACGCTGCCCATATTAACTTTCATTTAATTTGCCGGCAAACTTTTCGCATCGCATCGTTCGCGAGGAGTTTGGAACTCGTGTTATCTGCCTGCAGAACAAGTTGGCCGCATTAACCGGCTGCGATGATGGCCATTACCTGCGAACGCTTTCGTACGGGCCAAGTGCTATTTTTTCCTGCCTAGCCATTTGATGGCCTGGAAATTGCATTTCACCCACTGCAGTCGCCTCAAGCCTCTTCCGCTGTTCACCCAACCCACATCCATCCAACATCCTTTGTTGTCCTTGTTGGTTTTTGTTTTTTTTTTTTCAAATGTGTGTAGAGAAAGGAAGTGCTAGAACTGTATACGTATTTATACGATTATGGCGGAATGCTGGTCGAGAACTTTTGCAATCCAGAGTGCAATATGGCAAATACTTTTGGCCCCGCTCCAACTGCCAGCTAATGCCAAACTGGATGCCGAGGTTTAAGTTACGGCTTTAATATAAATTGTGTAATGAGCTGTGGACCGAGTTGCGAATGCAGTGCCCTCGAATGGAGGAATTTATATAGAAAAAATACGCAGGCATTCGAATTTGCAATAATATAGATATATCGTGGTATGTACGTCATTAATTTAAGAAAATAAAGGCAATGCTTCTTGGGAAGCACTCTTCATTAGCTAAAATAAATATTTATATTAAAATTCTATTTAAAAGTAGCTATTTAGTCAAAGATTTATTAAATTCATGAGAACATTTGGAGTTCTCAGTGTGTTGCCGACAATAATTTACCAATGTAATCTTCTTTGAAACGGATTTTCCTAATCTGAGATTGAATAGTTTAAACAAATGGCAGAACTTTTCACTGGAATTTTGCCCATTGAATATGCAAACCCATGCAGCCTGGGGATGAAAAAATAAATCAATATGGCTACAGCAATGAATATATAATCAGCCGAAGGGATTCAGGAAAGTAACTTCCATAGCGACTCTATATTTTGGTGTGTCTACATACCCAAGTTGCAGTTTACATATACAGTAGGGAGACAACTTTTGAACTGGTCCTTTGGAATAGGCCTTTTGAATATTCAATACTCTTCAGCCTAGGGCCCGACAACAAATTAAATCAATAAAACAACGATAAGGCAGAAACATGAAATAAAATGCTGCAGATAAAAAGTTGGTTCCACCAAAACTGCGGCAATGAGTCCCCAAGGAAATAAACTTGGCAACTTTATATTTAAATATTCTTGCGCCGCCATGAATCAATGGGGTGACCTATTGAGCAGGAAATATTTTTGGTTCACTCGACGTCACTAATGGCCGCCTTGCATGGCAAAAAAGGCAGAAAGCAAGTCGAGCCTTTGGGCCAAGAAAAACAGATAACTAAAAGCAAACCAGACTGTCAAGCCTCGTTGGCCGCATTGCATAAGCCGCGGCTTACACTCGATTTTCAGTTCTCAGTTCTCAGTTCTGGGCTTTTCTCGGGCGCGTGCTCGAGTGCCACAGGAAAGTCGGGGAAAACCAGTGGGGAGGGGGCGAGAGGCAGGGAAAAGCGCAGAGCACCTGCTTACCTGTCAATGGTATCCATCCGTCTGTCTGACATTGGCATTGCTCCACAATGGCCGCCCACAGTGCCACCCTTTCATGGGCATGTACTGACTTTAAGTGCATTAAGCTCAGTTCGCAATTTAATTTAAGTGTTTTTCTGTTTATTTTCCCCGCTTGGCGGCCAGTCATTTCCCCCGCATTTTCCCAGTTCTTCCTTTTCCTCCAATTTCCCTTTCCCTTTCCTGGTTTTCCCCTCGCTTGTTGCTGGCGTATCTGTTATTATTTCTATTTTAAGAGCTTGCGCCCAACCGCAGTTTTTCTGCCTAGTCTGAATTATAGACTAGGGTTTTTGCCTTTATTTGGTTTGATACCATACCAGTGTATCTATATATAGCTTTAATTACCACTCGGCTCTACTATACATATTGGAAAGGTGCATAATTTAACTACTAGGGCCAACACAACAGCTACTCCACATGCTAGTAATGTAGGTGTAAATCAGCGAGCAAGAATCAGGACACAACTACAACTACTACTACTACTACTATAATTATTTGAACAAATATTTATCTTTCTGCCGTCGTTGCGTTAATTTGATTAAGCTTTCCCAGCAAAGATGTCCTTTCAATGAAAGCATAAATGATGAAGGGCTCCTCTTGCTTTCCGAACACCTTGTGTCAATTTCATGGATCAATGGTATCTCAGGCATCCATCATATCCAGCATCCATTACGGTGGCGCCCTAAAGGTTTTCCCGATGCTTTCCACCCACAAAGGTGATAAAACCGGAGTGTGTGAGCTAATAGAATCATATCAATGTTCTAATGCACCTAAAAATGCACTTAGGTAAAAGATTGCCCGCTTCGTTTAAAGGGATATTTCCTGTTTACAACCTGACCATAATTCCTACAATGTTACTGCATTTTCCTTGCCATTGGCCTTGAGTGACGCAGTTGTAAAACTAGAAGATGGCTTTCACGGGTAGCTAAAGCCCTTACACTTGTATAACGTACAACGTGCCACAAAATATATAAATGCCAGCCAAAGTCGCATTCATAAATAATAATATGAAAAACTCCTGCTCGTACAAAACACAGTCTCACACTTCTGAAACATCTGACATTTGAAACATGAGCGGACATAGCCGACAGACAGAGCGCTGTAAAATATATTCAAGTACGAGTGACCTGAAGCTCGGGCACTCGAAATGCAGGGGATTCACATAATATACTGACTGCCTGGCAGAAAGTTTTCCTTGCCCGCAGGCTTCTTATACAGGGAAGTCTAAAAATGACGCCCTTTGATTAAGTATTTTAATTGACAAAATTAGAACACACCTATGTATCTCTCGGATATGGCGAGCTGCGAATTTGCATTAACTAAAATTCATTCAGGTACGTTTATGAATATAAAGAAAAGAAAAAATAAGTGATCAATATACAAGAGTAAATTCAAAATAAAAAGTATTGACATAAATAAAATTCTAGAAAATTCTTCTTTCTTTTTCAGCAGAAAGTACAATTAATTTGCGTAAAAAATCAACATTTTCCTAAATCTAACACTAAACAAAGAGTAGTCCTGATTATTATTTCTGAGGAACCACTGTGCTTAGCATTTGAAATGTAAGACACAAGGTGGTGGGTGTACTTTGAGTTGGTGCTTTGTTTTTCCCATGTCTTTGAGTTCAAGGGTTACGGCACTCACACTCGAGGGCCTGCATTTTTCGCGGCATAATAAACTTAGCCTTGGCTTGGGCCACTCTGGGCCACCCAAAAGAAAACCCAGCGAGCCCAGGCAAACCCAAGGCCCAAGAAGGCCAGTTGACATTGACATTTGCTTGGCGTGCCTCAAGAAATTCGTTTATGCAAGTATATGCAAGGCTGGTTATCCCAAGGAATATTCATCAGTTAATCCCCCGAGTTGGTTATTAAATGGCGAGTCCAACACTGATTTGCGTGTCCACCCTCAAAAGCCGTAGACTTATCCTAAAAAGGCTTATGTCGGACGCAAAAGATTCGGATGGTAAGGGGTTTAAATTTATGGCCCAAAGTCCGGCAGACAATTTGCAG